CAATACCATTCATTAAGTAATTGTATAGTGTTTTATTCAGTTTTCGGGTGCAAGACAGGACAGAACATTTGGATATATTGAACGGAAGATCATTTTTCACACTCCATCGATAAACACTATTGATCATCTGCGAATAAGAGACACTCAGAGTACTTTATATTTTGAGTTAGATCATTAATGAATACAAGAAAAAGTAATGGACCCAAGTCCATTGACATAGTATGTCGATGATATTCTTATGGAGCTTCATTTCAGTCATTTTCGAACAATCCAAAGCCATTCGAACTGGTTGGCAAGAAAGTGAGTGAACATCGTTTGGGTAGTCGTATTAGATGGAATTGAACTCGGAGATGAAGATTCAATAATAAAAATGACAATGATAATAATAACAATAAATGAATAACAGGGACGTGGGAGGGACTTTGAGTATATTTGGATTTGGAGTATATATTTATACTGAGAGATGGCATGTCAGAAAGGCACTAAGCTGTATCTTCGTTAATGATAGTCGCATCGTCACGTGTAGCATATCAAATGAAAGGTAAAATAAAAGTTGAATTTATTGACGAAAAAAAAGACGAAGATGATGCCAAAAGGATACTAAGCCGTATTATCGTTATTGATAGTCGTATCGTCAAGTGTAGCACATCAAATGAAATGAAAAATGAATGTTGAATTTATTGATGAAGAGAAAAAAAATGATGCCAAGAGGACACCAGATTGTATTTCCCCAACGACAGTCGCATCGTTATGTGTAGCACTTCAAATGAATGGGAAATGAATGCAGAATGTATCGACATGTTGTAAAAAAATGTCAGCTTCATCAAGAAATGTTGTAGTTGTGCGTCTATGAATTACTGCACTGGAAAGAGAAGCACCTGTGCATCATATTTCAAAGATCTTATAATTATTTCAAGAACAAATCTTCTATGATTCACTAGTTTACTGTATAATGTTTTTATCGAATGAAAAAAGTATGGTTTACCAAAATATGGAACCTGAAACATCACGGTGAATGTCCTAGCAAATTTGTCATAATACAACACCACACGGTTGACATCTTAACAAAATGTTGATACGCTATTGTGCATTAACAAAGAGGGGGGGACCTCAAACCTCAGTGCCCCATGGGAAGGGGTACCTAATAGCGAACATCCTAGCCCTTTTTTGAGTATGCTATTGGAATAAAATCAGTTTGGATTCTATGATGAAAGAAGACACAGTTATGAAGCACAAATATGGTTTGAATGCATCATTACAGTTTGAATAAAAGGTTACATTCTTTAAGAAATTCAACAATATTGTTGGTATTGGTATTTTCGAAAATTTCACTTAGGTTGGAGTGAATTATATTGTTCAGTCTCTCAACTGTGAAGAGCGGGCACTCTACCAGAACATGCTTACCAGTCACAAGCACTTCACATGCGAAACATTTTGATGGCGGTTCTTTCCTCAGTAGATGTTCATGCGTAAGGCGAGTGTCGCCCAGTCGTAATCTGGTAATTATAACTTGATGGAAGCAGTTTGTTGCTTTGTTGTTCCAAGGATATAATGTAGCCATGATTTCCTTAAGTTTGGAAGATTTTTGAGACCGGGGGTGATTCCACATTTCTACAATTTTGCCATGGAAATAGGATTTGAGATCTATCGGCAATGCTTTCATACGGAGGGTACATGCTGGATTTTCTACAGCTTCTCTGACAAGTTTATCGGCTATATCATATTCACCAGTAAGTGATGGGTATATATTTTCGACAAGGAAATAAGGGAGTTGAGAGAGTCCGTAATTATCAAAAACTCTTTACCAGGTGCCATTTCAATGAAGGAAAGAGCTTTATAGATGGCATAAAGTTCTCCAGTGAGAATAGTGGCAGATTCATGTAAAGAAAATTCACAGGCGGTCTCGTTCGTTACGAATACACATCCTACACCACGAGTTGTTTTTGAGGCGTCAGTGAAGATTTTCTGGTGAAGTGGGTATTGAGATATTATAGTTTGGTAATCAGCTTGGATCAGCTTTGGATTTGTGGTTGCTTTGCTCATGGATAGTAGCTGATTATTTATATTCGTTAAGGGAAAACGCCATGGAGGAGTTCTTTTCGAAAGTTTGGATTGGATTTGTAGAAATTCTTGCATCTGTATGAGGTTGAGGGAAAGCATTTTTCGTTCATGAAATGGAATATTTGTTTTTGTAGTGGGAGTGACTGGGACAATGTAGGGTTGTCGAGTTTGATGGGCTTGTCGCCTGGCTGCATATGATATTGTCAGTTCATGTCTTCTAAGCTTTAAAAGGTAACTCTCCAAGTTCACAGAGTAGGCTGTCAACCGGACTTGTAATAAATGCTCCAGAGATGATTCTGAGTGCGTTGTTACGTATTGTATCCAGAGCTTTGAAGGTGCTCGCGGAAGCAGACGCGTAGCATATGCAGCCGTAGTCTAATATTGACCATATTATTGTTCTATATAAAATCAATAATGTCCTATCATCTGCGTCCCATTGTTTATTTGCTGAGCATTTCAACAGGTTTAGCCTTTTTCGGCACACAGTGACAAGATATTTCATATAGGCTTTTAAATTCTTCTTACAAAGTACGTATAATTATTATATTCATTATTCTACGTTCCCGATCTGTTATGTAATACAAGTAAAATAATTCAATGGAAAGTTAAGCGAGTACAAATAGAATGTTTGAGTAATCACAAGAAAGTGATCTGGTGATGAAACAGTAAACGAAGACCAATGTGATACAGAAATTGAGGTTAGTTTTCATTTTTGTTTTCAATATCAGCTTTAGAAAACTATAAAAAGTTAGTTTAATTCTTGTAAAATTTTTCCGGGTTCAAGAAAATTAAATCTGATAGTGTTCCTCTAAAAATCGCAAAATGAACAACGAAAATATGGTAATATTTTCAATTGTCTTAATTTTTTGAATCTGCTGGTTGTTACCTAAGAACTCCAATATATTTTTCAATTCNAGAATGATGACGTACTATTGAACTTGATCAAAGCATGTCTGTCAAATCAGGTCAAAGTGTGAAGTGTATGTTAAAGAGAGTAGAAGATGAGCCACAGGTGAACTATGATTAGTAGTCGATTATGTGAATTGATTAATTGGGTAATTTTTCCAGCTCAACAAATATAGGAGTCCCTTTCCAGCGAGTACCGAAGCCAAGATAAACCCACCCGTAGAAGATGAGATGAACCATTCAAACTTTATGGCAAATTGGACAGATTCAGACCAGAAATTCCAATGCTATATGGAACTCGGTCACTGAGTCATTGCACGACACTAACAAAAGTTACACCACATAAAGACCACATAATGAACAGGCGGAAGTTATAAGACAGCAATCGTTGGACTATTCACCGTAAATAAGTGGCGATCCATTGATCCACTATCGATCTAATTTACATGAAAGATCTACAACGAATAACTTAGATGAAACGTGGGTGTTTGAACCTCAAAATGTCAAAAGTCTTCTGAATTGAGTAGGTTGATGGATGACATATTAGACAGAATCAGTATTGCAGCATGGACATCTAGCGGCGGGTAGTACAGTTGCTGGGGAAGCGATTCGGCGCAGACTAGGCGACAGGACCGTCTTCAGAATTTTCCAAATCGAATGGGCAATAGACTTTTTAACGTAAAAGTGAAGTGTTAGTGACTTTGCATGTGGTTGGACCTCACGTATGGGCTCCTATTTTTACGAATTCACTTATATTATTGATGTGAAATATTCCAAAAATAATTTTTTTTTCTTAATTTTTTTTTCAAACTGATACTTCCACTACATTCAGCTAATTTTTCTTATATATATATATATAGGATACACAGGATATTTCATACAGCATTTTGCACGAAAAATTCAAAAAATGTTGACTTCATTATTTCACTGAGGTTGTTTTACATATATAAGTATTTAGGTGGAAAGCGGGGTCCGCTTTTCATGGGTGGTGGAGATGCGTCTGAACCCAAATTGTCAAAAATACTAATTTCCGAAAATATTCAATTTTCCAAATTTATAGCCTCAGTGCACCGCACTGTAAGGGTCGATCTAGTAAAAGTTTATTTACCTAAATAAAGTTATTATATCCGGCAATTAGCAATAATGCAATAATGTAATAATGCTGATTGGCAATATTAGACTTCGACCTGAAATTGGGAACAAGAGTGTGTGAGCAGTAAATCATTCGGTTGAAACCTTTTGAAGATAACGCATTCATCATTCCTGAAAATGTACCTTCGGTAAGTGTATCTTTTGATTTATATTATTGGCTTGTTACACCATATTTTTGAAACAGCGTAACATTGTTGAGGGTTAAGTTGTATCTTTTTTTTNCTACCCATGATTATTATTTTTATATAAATCCTACCATCTGAGTTAACCCCCAACTCGCGAGCCATTTGGGACGCGACAATCCTTTTTTCTTTTTTCGTAGATGTCTCATCTTTCTTAGTAGATTTTTCCTCCTTTTACGCCTTTTTATATATTTAGGTGAAGTTTGTTGAGTATCTATTGATGCAATTTTTTAAAGAGGAACTTAAATCGGTTGAAATAGTTCATTCATGGATTCATCCAAGGACGGATCCAGGATTTTTTTCTGGGAGGGGCACAAGAGGCGGGCGGGTAAAAAAATGAACAATAACTGTTAGAAATAGACTTGAACTATGATACTTCAAGTTCATTTCTGCAAGTTCAAGTATTCATTGGAGGGTTTATGAAAGTGGCGAAGGAATAGAAAAATTAGATGTTTAATAAAGACAGTTTTCTTTTATGTTTCCTGCTAAATATGTCCATCACTTCATTAGCGTCCATTTTTGCCGCAACGTCTTGATGGATATGCATTGAAGCCAATCCATTCAAGTCAGTCATCCTGTTGCGAAGATATGACTTTAGTCGGCGTAAGGTGGAGACAGATCGCTCGGCAGTGCTAGTAGTCACTGGAAACGTGCACAGCAATTGACAAAGAGTTCTAATATTTGGCAGCATCGTTGCTCTTTTGTAGGCATCTGCTGGAGATACTGGGATATTTTCTCTCATCTCTTGCCAAATTTTCAGCTCTCCCTTCAAAGCTAACCAACAAGGAAGATCTTCTTTATATATTTCAGCGCCTTGCAAAACATCCTCCACATCTTTGTCGCTGAAGTTATGGGACAGCAACTTCTGCAGCTGTCCAATTCTTTTTATGGGAGCGTTAGGGAACCTGGCTGACATTTCACTTAATATATAATCTAGAAAAGGAATATATATTGAAAGTCGGTAATATTCTTCAACTGACTGAGTCTGAATGTTCGGCCGATTCGTTTGACGGCCAGTAATTCTGGGGACGGTGATTTCTGCACCAATTTCATTTGCGATGGCCTTAGCCTGATTGAAAAGTTTTTTAAATGTGTCCGTGCTAGTTTCACGCTTCCTCTGCAAACTTGCTGTGGTCGTATTAAAGAGCTGAACTGCATAAATTATATAAATTGCAATTGCTTGCAATGATCGGGATAATGGCAGCGTGATTCCTAAAATATCAGACAGGATTACCAAACTTACGAGAAATTCCGACGACATTATAGATTGGAGCAATGAAAATGGAGGTATAGCAACTCAGTTTCCTCGATCTTGATCAGCCATTGTTTGCAATAATTCAGGAAGACATGGCAAGACGTCCAAAAACGTCAAAACCACTTCATGTCTTTCCACCCATCTGGTTTCACACATTTTTTCAATATATTCTGTTTTTCCTTTGGCAGATGAGCTTGCATTTTTTCTCTAAGGAGATGTATTCGTTGAGCTGAGCCACGAAAGAAAGTTGCTACACTTGATATAACTCCTATAGCATTTCTTATACTGGGTACGGTGCAGGCTGTACTAATAGCTAAGTTGAGTCGGTGGTCTGCACAGTGGGTAAAAAAGGTTGAGGGCTGAATGCTGGATATGCATGCCTGAACACCTTTTATTTAACCGCTCATGTTGGCTACTCAATCATATGCTTGACCCCGGCACAATGTAATGTCCAGGTTAAGGTTTTCCAACGCTTTCAAAATGTGATGAGTAATGTTTTCACCAGTAACTTCAATAACTTCGACAAACATTAGAAAGTCTTCTTGTATTTCGTTTGAATCTACATCGAAATAGCGAATAGAAATGGCTAGTTGCTCGCAAACAGAAACATCTGTGGTCTCATCAGCCATGATGGTGAAATATTTTGACTTTTTAATTTTTTCCACTATTTTGTGTCTGATAAATTCTCCACAGCATTCAATTGAGTCATTTTGTGTCGACTAGCTAATGTAGGAAGCGTTCTTAGTACACTTTTTCACGTGTTCATGTAGTATCTCATCTCCAGCATCGCTCTGAAGTTTCCTTCTCCGTGTTCATAAGAACTTTTCGATTCTAAACTACCGTCATCCCTATGATCTCTTAACGGTATATTTTGCCTTCCACATAGTATTATTGTTTTTATAATGGGTATGAGTTTTTTTTCGATTCTCTTCAACAGTTTTCATTTCCTGGGATCTCATTTGGATAACAACATCCATTGACTTTCCATCTATTACCATCAAGAAATTTTGAGATGCTACCACGTTTGCTTGGTGGTAATTCGTGCTCTCGTGGTGTGTGATCGTTTCGGTTGCCTTCTTATATTTTGTCAGTGGTTCCGACACCAATTTTCTCAGCTTAACATCATTTGTACCCCCTTCACGTCGACCAAAAAGAATGCACATTTTGCACAATCCACCACTATCAACTTAACTGTATGCTAGCCATTCATGTCCCTTTAACCAGCTTATTCGAAAAGATCGGTTCTTTTTTCCCTCACGCACAAGTGGAAACTTGAAGTCTGTTGTAGGTTGCCAAGTATATATTAACCACTGGTATCTTTCTTCGTCTGTAAGAACTAATCCGTCTTGCCGGTTGATTAGTAGCACACCTGAAATCAAAAATAAATAATTAACTGTTCAGATACCAAGATTATTTTGTGTAATACCTAGCGAAAGCTATGTATGGTAATATAAATTCTAAATTCGGAAAGAGACAGATTTCTTCAATTCAGATTAATTTTAAACGCCATAACTATCTCTCATAAAACGTTAAATTATGGCCAAGGGACCGAGAGTGTTAAGATAAACACTATTCATCGGCTTGAAAAGATGCCCAGTCAGAGATAATTATCACGTAACTCGATAAGGCATATACATTTCCCATGAATTGAAAGTTTTGAGAACTCATCGAAAGATGTTTTTAAGGACCTACGTCGTACGGGGGCAACGATGAAGAAATAACGGTTTGAGAAACGCGAGGGGCGAGAGACTCGTGATTTGATTTTGCTGGCTTTTTGAAAGGAAGAAAGAGAGAGGGTTCTGGGAGCTCTTCGCGTGAGGTAGCGGTCTGGGAGTGGTGCGAAAATCTTTGTTTTATGAAGTGGGCCAATCAAGGGCGGTATATTTTGTTATGGGAGATAGTTTTCCTGGGTGGAATCTAATTTTTTATTTTTGAAAACATGCAGTTAGCGTGATTTTGGGTAGTCTTTTATTCTGAAGCGAAAATCGAGCAGTG